ATTACTCTTGAGCCTACTTTGATATGAAGGTGCACTGGTAGGTTTGTTCTGTATTTAAATATATCTTTAGTTGGGTTAGTTAGTAATTGGGTTCTATCGATTATATCGAGTGATAGAGAGTCTATTTCAGTGTTTGTAGTTAGAAGGAGAGTGCAAATAATTTTATTAATATCATTAGCAAGTTGATAATAGCCAACTATATTTGTTGTATTTATATTGTAGTTAGTATGGATATTTGAAAGTTTTCTTTGTAAAATTTTCCATAAGGCTTTTGGAACTTTTCTAATGCGTATTTCTTGAAGGATATTAAAAAATAGTAGATCTTGATCTTGTCAGTGAGGCATAGTTAAGAATAGCAGATAAAATAGTTTCCAAATAGATGATTGAAATACTGTATACCATAGATTGGTAGAAGTTGTACTAAATCTCCTGAGATTATAATATAAATACTGCCAAATGCTAAAGTATTTTTGTGAATATAAACAAAGGTATCAGATATAAAAGTAAATAATGTATCAGAAACTATTGATATTTCATCTATGATAATAGTTTGAATTTGCCATAGTATTTTTAATTTTTCAGTAGATCAGAAGATTGATATTTGTAATATGTAGAGTTTGTAATGCTTAGTGCAGAGTAAATTGTTCAACCACCAATATTGTTGGCAGCTACTTCTGTTAGAGCTAGTAATAGATATTTAATATTTTTAGCACAGAATTTGTTGATAAGTAAGTTTATAATATACGATTTTTTCATTTCTGCTAGACTAGTAATAAAGAAATAAGCCTATTTATATACAGCTTGCGGGTCTAATGTTGAGGCTAATTTGTTTAAAACTATGTATTAGTCATGGAGTAAATTATAAGTGGTTGTTTTTGAAATATTAATAGGAAATTTTTGTAATTTAAAAGTTAGAAGTTGCATAGATTTGTAATGCTAGTTTGAGAAATTGAGCAAATTAGACTTGTAATTATTTCTTCATATACAGTTATTATTTGTAAGGAGCAAATTGAATGTTGATGATTTTTGATTTGTTGAATAAGTTGGTATTGATTAGAAAAGCAGTAAATAAAATATTTACAATAAGTTGAGTAGCCTCCCTTTATATTATTTTCTAAGTAGAATAGAAGGTTTAAAAGCAGTTTTGATAAAAGAATTCTTCTCTATATTCAATTGTTAGATTAGTTGTTCAAATTAGAATTGGGTGTTTACATTTTGTAACTATATGGTTATTTTGGTTAGTAAATTTATTTATATTATTTGGGGAGATATTTTTTTTGTATAAGTAACCTTGTAATGTTTTTAATAATCTGTATAGCTTAGTTAATTAAATTCAGAGTTGATTAGTCAGGCAAAATATTTTTCAATCATATCAGTTCAATATAAATTATTTTTATTATCTTTAATTAAAAAAATAGATAAGACTGTATGTGATCTTACTTTTGGTAAGCTTGTAGATAAATAGAGAATGTCAATACTGCTTCAGCATATATGTTTTTCTAGAAAAAGTATCATTTGTTCTATAGAACTAAGACGTCTTGCAACAACATGCCTTTGATAAAAATCTTGTTCATTAATTTGAAACATATCAGAGGCTCACTTTTAATAATATATTTTGTCATATATTTAGCATAGTATCATAATGTGACATATTGAAAATTTATATGCGCTTGCCAAATTATTAGTGTTTCAGAATGAAATGGAATAACCCATCTATCCTCTTCTTTAGTACAGCAGTATATATAATGAAGGAGGTTTTTATCATTATAGATAGTTTCTGAAAGTGGTGCTAGTAATTTTTTACAACAATGTTCACTAACTGGTGCAGGTTCTCTGCACAAATGTATTGAACAAGAGTGTATTTGGTATTTAAGAACTAAGTTGTATAATTTTAGTTTATAATTAGGATCAGATATATTAACACAGATTAGATTTTATTTATTATTTCAGAGATTTCTGTTTCTACATATACAATCCATGAGTATGAATTGCACTATAGTTATAAAATTCATTGTGCTCAAACTGATGTATCCATTTTGGCTATTTATATAAATTTGTATTTTTTTTCTATAGGTTATTCTATACAGAGTTTAAACAATGATTATAATATAGTACTGAATACAAAGGGCAATTCAAAGGTATTGTATCATGATTGTTAGTTTTTTCTAATATTATTTGCAGATAATACTAGTCGATTTCTGCTATTATCGTTGTATAAAACAATTGAGGAAAACCTAAGTTGCTTGATATAGAGTTTAAATCAAGTCTTTTTTAGTAAAAGTAGATGTCTCTGGTATGCAAGAAACTTGGTAAGGTTGTTGTTAATAATTTATTTATTATTAAGTTTGAATCATATATACTATAATTTAATAGTTCTCTTGCAGTTGGTAGTCTAAATATACAATCAAAATTTTATTTACAAGCAAGTCTTTGTATATTTTAATGGATACGTAACTTTTCTAAATACATATATGACCAACTTGGACAAAACTAATGCAAATGGAATCTGTGTCTGAGAATAATAAGTTATATTTGATATATTTACTATAAGTTATTTTTTTAATAGTTTTATCAAAAAAACCTGTTCTATAAAAAAACAAGTCTGGAAATAATAGTGGTTTGAGATGCTCACTTCTAATTGAAATTGAAATATGTATATCAGAATTTAGTGTAATATAAAGTCTACCATTAATCATTGATAATTAAAATCTTTATCATGAGTTTTAGTATCAAAATCGTAGTTTAGAACTACAATATCTTTTAGATTCTGAGAATTTTTTACATAATACAGGTTAGGATATTGTTGTTGTACTAATGAAAAAACTGTATTTTTAGTATTATTTATAATTGACAAATTCAGTTTAAAGTGTTGTAAGTATAGATTGTTTTTTTTTAATCAATTAACTGCGTTATATAGTGTTAAATAGTACCAGTTTAGAGCAGATTCTGTATTGTGAAAAAATGCACCAAGTTTTACAAAGTACAAATATACTGCTCGAATATTATATAAATAGCCAAAAAAACCTTTTAAATGTCTATAGTTCATATATAAATTGCTTCCTGTATGTCTTCCTAGTAAGCATTATAAATATATGGGTGATAGAAATTGGTAGTTATATATTGAAACAGCTGCAATTTCATCAGAAACTGGCAATAAATCTGGAGGTGAAGGTTTGTTTTGTTTATGTTTACATAAATTGCATATAGCTATTTTTTATATATTTGAATTAGGATAGAAATGTAATTTTTTATTTGGAAATTTATGATTTAATAGATATTCAAAATTTTTGTTGAATATTTCTTATGAAATTTCTGAAGTAAACATTAAAATAGAGCAGTAAGCACATATGATACAAGAGAAATTATAGAAAGTTATATTATGTAACTAATCTTTGAGTGCTATTAAATTTGGACTTGGTCTTCAAAATAATATATCTTGAAAAATATTTTTAGAATTAAAGAGCTACTCATTATATTCATTAATTGGATCATCTTATTTGATATTTAAGTTATTTATATTATAATGATAAATTGTATAAGTTGATATTGTGATTAAGGAGTGTTGTTATAAGCTAATAGTACAATAATTAGAGAGTATTAAATGTTTTGTTAGAATAAAAGAAATTTATATTAAGAATTTTTATTATTATTGCTATATGCAGTAATAATTGATACTTTGAAGTATGGTTATAGTTTGAAAGAAATTTTGTATATTGGTTGTCATGTTTAGCTCTAAGTTGTAGATGTAAAATAATTTCATGTTTATATATCTTTACTTGTTGAATAGAAAGAAAAGATTCAAGTTGTTGTAGGTAGTAAAAGATTACTTAATTCATTATATTTATGATTTATATGCAGATAACTTTTGGTTAGATTGTGCGGGATTTATTTTTGAATTGTAGTTTAAAGGTTACATATATTTTATTTTTGTTATTAGATTGTAATTTAAAGATTATACAGGCTTTGTTTATATTGTGATTCAAGTGCAAGTAATAAAGGTTATTATGTTTATAGTATACAGTATATACTTAACGGTATATTTTTAGTATAATTGCATTTTTATTTCATATCTAATTTTTTTTTATATAAATAAATTTTCATATTAATGAGAAAAGGAAATAGATAGTTGAAGATTATTATGAAGATTTTATATCAGCATTCATATTTATATTGTATATATATTATACATATTTGTACACTTTATAAGTAATTTGCTTATAAATATATACATTTTCATTAATTATTAGAAATTTATGAGGAAGGGCAATTGCAGATTGGCAATTTAGATTATATATGGATTGAATAAATATATATTGTAAGGTGAATAGATTTTATTTATATATTTTGGTAAGTTGTTAAAACTGGTTACAAAATCAGAATTAAATTAATAATATAACAATTTGTCAGGTTAATATTTGAAATATCAATTCTGATATCCCAAATATTGGTATTATTAATTTAGATAGTGATTATTAGCTGTGAATGTAATATGAAGATGAGATTTTTTAATTGAATAAACAGGTGATTTTTTTTATTAGATAAATAGTTTTTTGATTATTATTTATATATAATATTTTATTGAACAATATTTGTCAAATAAAAGAAAATAAATAGATGAGTTTTCTGTGAAATTTATGTTAAATGTTAAGCTATTTTTTTAAAAAATTATTGCTGCAAACATGCCATGTTATAAAAATACTATTGTGTAGATTAACCAAGTTCAACAATCAATAAGAGAAAATATTAATTCAATTATTGTATTTGCTATAAGCACTTATCCCATTGAACAGAAAGATAATGATATTGAGTTAGTTATGTTTGTATCTATTAATTTGATGAAAGAGACCCTGATAGTCAAGCAGTATTTGAAAAAAATGAATATTATATTATTGGCAGAAAGATTGTGTCTGAACATTATTGTGGTGCTAAAAGGCTAAAGGTATTATTTCAGACTTGTTATAAACAATTATACAATAATTATTTATTCTTATTTAGTAATAATGGTTGCAACTTCAACACGTGTTAATATCAATAAAGAGCTTAATTCGAATAATTGTCTGTTAAAAATATCTCTAGTCAGTATCGCTCAAAGTGAATCTCACGAAGTTAAAAATGATGAAAATGCAATTATTAAAACATTAGTTAATGATTATAGTACCCAGAAATATAATTTTTTAGTCAATATTACTTACCCACATCTTAGTTCATGATTTAAACATTTTAAAAATTCTATTGACCAAAAGAGTCTATGTTATTCGTAGTTGGTAAAATGAAGATTATCCAAGATGAATTGTATGTTTATGCGAAAGATATTAATTATGTCAGTATATATTCAGCTACTAAAAAACAACTATCTGAGTCTAGCAATTCACAGGTGTTAAATAAGTTCACTTGTTCCAAGCTTTTGGCTATGCATCATAGCATTAACGAATCATTTAAGAAAGATTCTGAAGCTTTGAACATAACAAAATTAATTGATTCAAATAAAATTAATTTAAATCAATCAGACGTATCTGCATCTGATCTTAGTTTATCAAAACGCGTTAAGACTAAAAAGGTGAGCAAACTTGCTAAAGATTTATTAGAAATTGACGATTTGGAGCTTGCAAATATCAGTTATATTAGAGATGAATCGCAAGTAGATCAAAATGCTCCTGATGATTGTTACAAAGAATTAGATGAGTCTGATGAAGCTAAGAAGGTTAATGAGTCAGTGATGGCTGATAATGAATATAATAAAGATAGTAATTTTAGTTCTGCATGGGGAGTTCGTAATCATGGAAGAGGAAGTAAAAATAGAGGGCATAGTACACATATCCACCGATTTGGTTTCACCCCAAAATTAGTCAATATTGATCGAGAATTATTTGCTATTAAAATTTATTACAAAGTGAATTTTTACAACAACGGTCTTTTAAACTTACTTTTAATCCATAATAAAGTGTATAGAATATTTTAATATCTACATGTTTAATTATTAGCTAAAAGTAAGTTAAAAAGGTAGTTTTTCAGAAAATTGCCTCCAAATTTACCCTTACCCATTATACAACCAATCGTTCAATAACAAACCAATCCTTCACTACTCGAAAATACCCGAATGCTTCAAACAACTAGTGACAGTACTTCCTTTACAGCTTGGTGTAGCTGGTTTTGAATATTTATTGCTTATTTAACTCATATAGAGGCCAAAAAACTATTTTATTTGAAGGTTTCATTCGTTATTCTTCACGTCACTTAATAGCAGAAGTTTGTGTAATGGTTTATTGAAAAAGACCCCTAAAAATCAAATCGGTGGATATGATGTAAAGCAAGAAAAACACATAGTACTAAATCTGAAGCACATATTGTGAGCGGTGATGATCACAGTGAAAAATAAATATGTTATATCTAGTTATTTTGATATTTGAGTTAAATTATGTATATTTGAAAAAAATTTAAATATGATTCTTTTTTTATTATTTTTTTATTTAGTTATTATTACATTGTTTTATTTTAGTTTTTTTTTTATTTTTACTTATTGTTATGAAATTGTTATCAACTTAAAAAGATTTTTTTATTTTATGACAATAAAGGTTAGACATAATTTAGCGAATTAATTGTAATGTAATTTTTTCGTGTTCAAAGTTTACACTCACCTGAATACGCAATTTCATGCGTTAAAAATCAGATTTTCTGTGCGTATTGACTATTTAATTTAAGGAGTAATTTAAGTGTTCGAAGCTATGATTAAGATATGATTTCAGATAAATACTAGCTTCATTTAGTTATAATATATAATTTTCGATTTAATTCATTTATGCATTAGATTTATTTACATTTGTGTTTGTACAAGATTAAGCTTGTATAAATGATCAGTACCTACTTCTTTACGAGTTTTATAAATTAAGTAGTAATTTATTTATGTACAGTTATGCACATACATATTTATTTATATTAATTTGTTCATATCGTTAAATGGGTTGTTGGGTTTTCTTTTGCGTTTCTTTAAGTTCTTTCACTCAGTCTTTTGCTATATTCTTTAACGATCAGTAATTATCAAACTATCTGCCCAGTAAAAAATCTGATTTGAAAAAAATAAGAAATGCGAACACTTAAAGAAAAAAATGTATAAATCTATATTAGGGCAGTTTAAAAAATATTGGAAACCTGAATAGATACTATGTTATTATTTTATCAAAATATCTAGTTTAAGACTATAGATTAATAAAGCATATTGCAAGTATGTATACTACAATTGCAAGTTTGTATATTTCAAATACGCATATTGCAAGTATGCAAGTATGCAAGTATACAATAAAAACCGTATAAATAGTTGGCACATTTTATAAAACAGGAAAAAATCTTCCAATTCTTACAGATATCAAGTTACATTTTTTGACAATCAATCCTATATACATAACTGATCTACAATTACATACCAAAGTAATAGATAAAGGCATTAACAATAAATAGTAATTATTATCAATGAATACATACTGTGGTGTGATTTTCTAAAATCCTTATAAAGGAATTCATAAATTAAAAATTGTCTAATATATATAATTAGTTAATTATATATCCAATTAATATGTAATGATTCTTTAATGACCCTATATAACAAAATAGTTTTGATAAAAATCATTTAACAAAGAACTTAATCGTATGTATTGGTACTATAGTTTAAACAAAAGGAAATCTACCCAATCTAAACTTAATTCCACATCTTATGTGCAGTACAAAAAAAATAATTTTACAATGATGGGTCACTTAACTACCAATATTTCTCTCATAGTTTAGATCAGGTACATTTTCTCTTGTTTATGATTTACAGTATCGCAGGTGATAGAAATATAACATTATACTAAACACATAGAACAAACTAACAAGAATAGATAAAACTAGTGAAATCGAGTGCTCTAGTTATGATCATTGGTAGTAGTACAATATAAAGTAAAAATTGATTCTAGGATACAAAACAGTTAGCAATAAAAATTATTAATAAAAAATAATTTATGTAAAATTATTATTTTAGCTTCTAAGAGCCCATGACTGAATAACAAATGATTAGCAGTCTAGCATGTAATAGTTATATCCTGAGTAGTTGCATATAAATAGAACTTCGCAAAAAAGTATAATCTGCTGCTTATGCCGCAGATTATACTTTGCTGCAAAATTCTGTTTATAGTCAACTACTCAGAATATAAATAACATATCTTTTAGTATCTACGTAATATAACTTTCATATACTTATTTTAGAACAAGCCACTACTCTCTTCCTATATTTAATATTTAAGATTAAATAAAAAAATACAGTAATTAACTAAATAAACGTCTAGTAGAATAAGTATGTGAAAACAAA